ATATTTATCTTCAACATGGGGTAGGAGGAGAGAGGTTTCCTTTAACAGATACATTTCACAGACTCTATTTATTATGTGATGTGTTTGGGTTAATAAACTGGACTATATCCAAACTGTATGGAAGTGACGGACTAAGATGACGTTGATTCATTTCATTTGCATTTATTTTACCGTTAGTTTAATTTATAGAGTAAACAAAACACAACAATCAGATTTAAATCAGAGTCGTCTGCACGGTGTGTAGCCTACCTCCCCTCTGCACGTTTGGCATGTGGCCGCATGCACTCGCAGCTGCAGGAGGAAAGAGGATGAACGAAAGGGCATCGTTATCGCTATCTCTCTAACTCTTTCTTCACCAAAGACATCTGTTTGTCGGGCCAGTCTGTGCACAAACAAGACATTTCTTATTTAAAAAGTTAACTTCTCTGTAGAGGGCAAAACGGCAGGTGCTCAAGCCCCCTTTTTGTCCATGTGTGCATGTGCCTGGTTTTATCTTAAATGACATGTGTGTCATATCTGAACAGTGCATGCAGACTCACTGGAGCCTCACAGGTTTTAACAGATCTGTTATATGGATGAAGGAATGAACAAGAAGATCCCCGTCTATTAATAGCGTCATCCTGTGCACTGCTCGATCATTTAACGCAGTTAGTGGAAAAGGTCGAACATTTTACATTTGACATTTAAGGTAATTGTTCTAATGTTTAGTGTTGCCTTTGGGACCCCCGTCTTTGTCAGTTTTGCCATTTTGATTTGTAAACACAAAGCAACAAAATAAGAATACATGTTGAAAGTCATGGTACAAACATTTTGTCTCTTCAGTTGTTTTTTTGGGGGGGTAATTTAATTTAAAATCACTATGTGGGTGTTGCCTGATGTTTTAAAGTTATCATATTAATTAATGAATATGCTTAATGTTCTGTTTTTACACTTGATGGTTGCAAGTTTATGATTTAAGTTTTATTCAGTACTTGCAGGGAAATCTTGTGTACTTCATCAGTGGTTTATAAACAGAGGTCCTTTTATTTCTGTCTTTCTGCTGCTGCCAAGTTTGATGAAGTTATTATGAATTTCAACAGTCAACCTTAAAAGCTTTTTTCTGCACTCAGCTGCTCAAGAGCTCTTAAGAGACCATCCCTGAACAGAGAAGTGGCAATGAAGAGAAAGAGTGAGGTTCAGTCAAAAAAGAAGGAAATGCTGTCTGAGCCCAGCTTGAACCTGTTTGCAGCAGAATGATCTGTATCAGTCAGCCTTCCTTATCACACCAGCCTGTTGACCAGTAAACAGCGGGGGCTTTAGCTGAGATGCTGAGCCCTGCCAACATCACATATAGACACCTGAATACATCCAGGAGAGTCACACTGAGACAGAAACCATTTTCCTGTCTGAGATTTGAGCTCACACAGCTCAGCTAGTGGCAACATTAACCCCCTCCTGCCAGCACTGTCTCTATCAGCCTCTGTAAGCTTCATTATAACTGATGATCAGACAGATTTGCTAAAGGAATGTGATGAACGATGACTTCAGAAATATTTCAACACAACAAGGGCCTGTGTCCACTAAGGCTGATCTTTTTTTTCGCGCTGGCAGCGCCAGTTTTCAATACAAAACCAACGCAGCTCAGCTTTATCAGTGTTTAGCGTCCTGAGCGTGAAAACACCCTATACATGCATCAGCAGTTTTTATGTCCACATTCAAAGCTTCTCAGTTAAAAACAGTTCAATTTTCAAACACAAACGTGCTCATCAATGTCACTTCCCCCTCCCTGACCAATCAGAATCCAGAAGACCCACCACCTGCTTCTTTAAGTTCCCAGTGTGGTATATAATGGCATGGAAACACTTTGAACATGCTAATGTATATGAGACGGCATCACCCGGAGCTGCACAATCACAGAAGCTATAAGCTAAAGAGAGAAAGTGTGCAACAACTCTGGACGTGAAAGCAGAGAGGGTCACACACTGAAGCTGATAATAGAGCGCCACAGGAATGAGTCCTAAAGCCCGGAAGTAAGTTAGCATTTGAGCGCCATGAGGTCTAACGTCTAAAAGTCAACGGGGATTTTGAATGGGTTTGTGGTTAGACGGCTAAAATAAGGTCTGTGGTTAACACAAGCTGAAGAGATGTTTGCGTTTTGTTAGACCACATAAACTACGTTAGGTAATACCCCCACTTGTGAACTTTGACGTTTTTAACGCGTCTTTAAAAAGGCGGTTGCTAACAAGCGGCTAAATGTGAGTACAGTGGTTGTCGTGGACATTAAACGTCATCACGCCGAACACAGAGGGCGGGAACTCTCTCACTAGTCGGAGATGTCTCCTGTACGTTTAATCTTTAGGTTAAGGCAATTATTAGGTTAGTAAACATTTTATTAAGCTACGTGGATTAGTTTATCGGAGATGGTCTGAAGCATAACGGTAGTGACGTCACAATCATCCGACCGTGGTGTAGTTCGCTTGTAGCACAATGTTAGCTTTTCACTTTCTGTCGGCCGCATTAACACTTCAAACATCATAGAAACGGCGTTCATCTGTGAAGATTATCCCGCTGAACAAAACGCCTACGCTTCAGAAACGTGCGTTTGCCACAGAGCTTATTTTCTGCAATGATCCAAAATCCAATGCAAAAATCCCACTGGTGAATTGTTGTTAGACCCCATGGCGATGCTACTTCCGGGTTGGCCTACAAAACTACGTCATATGGTTTGTTCTCTATAGGTAGGTAATACTAGATATCCAGTAGTAAACGATCCCGGATCACTGCAGTTTGGTGTCAGTTTTCCCCTCTGATCATGCTTCATCCTTTAGCTTCTATTAACCACGATGCGATATTCCCCCGCTGTCATCGTTTTCTTTGGCCGATTACCTTGTGTTCACATTACCCTTGTTTATGATACAAGTCACTGTGGGGGTCATGAAGTAGTGATACGATCAATCAGCTTCCTTGTCAAATCTGTTTGGAGCACCGTACTTATTTCAAAGGAGTCAGGGTGACAATATATTGATTCCTTGTCTCACCCCTGATATAAATCTTTGTGTTTTCTGATCTGAGGATCAACACTAACAGCAGAATTACTTGATAGTATATCTGCTGAAAGAGCTTGGTTTCTTCTTCTCTGTACTTTAAATGAATAATTTCTGAGCTGGTCTGCTGTGATTTTAATGAATGCTGAAATCAGGACAGAAATATTAAAAAAAAAAAAAAAAAAAAAAATGGAATACTTTCATATGTGTGTAAATTATATTCATCCATTTGATATGATATCACAACATGCATTAACTCTTTAAAACATTCATTGATTCAGTGGTGCAGCTGCCATGCAAAGTAGCAACTGAACCTGTCCATCATCTCACATTCATTCATGAATGATGGTGATGCCTTTGGGAGCAGTTTGGGGGTTCAGTTTCTCACCCACGGATCATTAACATGAACCGCAAGGGCCAGGGATAAGCCAATACGGCTCTGCTTCTCCAAAGAGCCCTCTGTGCCGTTAAGTTCAAGAACATTACCTTAAGCTAAGAGACAGGCAGGTTGAATGCCTCTCTAGAGGAAGACAGGGTTTGTATGTTGTGCGAGTTAGGTGAAATGAGAATCATTTTCTGTTTTACTGTCCCATCTATGATGATATAAGGGATGTACGTTTTAGAAAAATGTCTTCCATTGACGTTGATTTCTTCTGGTGAGATGATTATGAAAAGCTTGAGTTGTGCTTTAGAAGAGGAATCTGTTTTTGTAGCAGATTTTTTTTCTACAAAGCCCGCTGGGAGAAAAGACATAATACACGATTCAAGACTGAGCTGTGAAAGGAGCATTCAACTTTGTAATATTAGGAAGTCTTGAACCACTCGGCTGAATTTCTGGTGTCTTATAAACCTATGAGGATTTGACACATGTGTATGACACATACATGAAAGACAATCAATCAATCAATCGACCTCTGAAACACAGCTTTTACCAAAAAAATGAACTTCTTAGCAACTTTTTTTGTTTCTAACACTCCTGGACTGTTTTCATCAGCAGGCGGACTTTTCTTGTATTGTGGAGATTGATACAGTATGTTGAAATGCAAGCTCACAGTTACTGTTATTCATTTCTCTGATGCTCTTAACGTATACCTTATAAACACAATTTTCACAAAACAATCCAATCTCAAGTTTGATACACTATTGTTTTGTTGTTGCTTTCAACAAAGACCCACAGTCTGACTCTTGACTGGCGGTTGCTCTTTTATTCTACATGTAGACAGTCAGATTTAGCTTTGTGGCAACTGAACGAACTCCGTCTGATAACTAAAACCTGTTCAGGTATGAATCTGCACAATAAAAACTAAAGGGTTATCTTAATTGTGATCACGATTACAAAGGATATACAGATCAACAAATAATGTAAATGGTTTAGTTTCAGTCCAGGCCTAGTGTGTATTTGTATCCTTTGTGATCAATCACAATCCCTCATAACTGTTTCTTTTTTACTTTACTTTTCTCACTACCATGACTATAGGTATTTTTATACCTATTTATGTTTGCACCTTATTCTTATGTAAATACTTACTACTGTTTTTTATTCTGCACTATAACTAGCAAACTGCAACAAAATGTTGTTGTTATCTGCACTGTAAGGTACAATTTGAATGACAGTCTAAGTCTAAGTATCACAAGATCACAAAGGCGCTCTAGCAGAGCACTCTTTCTTTCCCACTAAGTGAGATGTTTCGATTGACTCCATTTGTCACAATTTGGTTACGAAGAGGAGACAAACTAACCTTTAGGAGACTAATACAGTAGAGACTTTCAAACAGCTGTGTGTGAGCTGTGGATGCTGAAGTCTGATGTTGTGAAGATGCACATTACACTGCTGCAGACTGCAGATGGTTGCTAGTTTTATAATCTCATACTTAAATTTCAAACTGCTCACTTTAATTGCTTTTTGCATCTGCCAGTGTGTAAAGCTTTGATTATTTCAAACATTTGATTAAAACCCTTACCTCCTCTTTCCACCAGAGGCCCAATCCAGCGCCAACATGTTCGACTGCGTCTACTTGGAGCTTTCCGCCTCCCTCGACCACGGCACCAACGAGCTGTTAGAGGCCGCTGTTCGGACGGCAAGAGGCGAGTGTGTGGGCCCCGGCTGGACGGATGGCGACCCTGGCGCAGCGCGCAGGGAGAGCCTGACCAGCCGTGCGAAAAGGTTCCTGGCAGGGCTTGTACCTCGCTCCTATGGTCGAGACCGGGACAGAGATCGAGGCCGCTATCGAGAAATGAGCCGCCACCGGGGCAGCAAGATCCTCCGCCAGAAGTCCCGCTCCTGCCACGACCTCAGTGCACTGTGACACACATGAACACACACGGGCAGAGGGGGAAAACTCCCACACATGTACACACACATTGGGGTGAAGGATGTTGGGGAGGGGGAGGTGTAAAAGGTAGATGAGCAGGAGAAGGAAAAATGGAAGCCAGCAAGGGGACAAGAGGAAGATGATGGAGAAATTTAGCAATGGCAGATAAAGGTCAAGTCGGGCGAAAAAGGGAAAGAGATTGGCAGAAAAAGCCAAAATCCCCTTTGACCACAGCAGTGAGCCTTTATCTTCCTCCTAACAGTGAAACCAATTTGAGAGAGATTAAGGCCAGGTTTGAGAGAAAACAGAGAAATAGATAAGGACGTGAGCCGCTTGGGTTAAGCCATGAGGACTGATTACTTGATGAGTGCGGCAGAAAGAAAATTAATTATTTTACACAGCAGCTTGTTTTCCTTTGACGACACACTCAAGTGGGAAGCTGCAATACTGTTATCAAATGAAAAATGTTGTATCAGTATTATTCCAGTTTGCAAATCTTAAAAACATAAGGAATCCGGCATACCATAGCATTGTGCTGCTTCCAAATTGAAAAACAACAGGCCAATGAGTTGGGAGAAATCCAGTGGAACCGCATATCATCATTTTAGAGAAAACCGCAATAACCAATTAGGTATTGTTGACAACGGCTAATGTTAGCATTGAGCTATTTTAGCAGTGTTCCAATTGACAGAATACCAAACAAAGCTTGAAATTCCTAGTTTAACGGTAATTTCAATTTAAACAGTTCAGAAAGCATAGCTGGTGTCTTTAGGTAAATCCTACTCAATGGAATAATAATAGGTTTTAAAATATGTGCTCTTACCTTGAAATTTGGGACAATGCTCCTCTAGATTTTCACTTTCCACCATATTTTTTAGTTGCTGATAAACTGAAAAAGGGTGAAATTATACAAATTTGTCAGAACTTAAGTTTGTACAACATGCAGCTGTAAGATCATTTAAAAGCATTTGAGCTGTCCTACCTGAGGGTTAACTTTTAACAAAAATGGCTGCCTTGTGTGTATGGTGACTTAGGCCGTGTTTACATGAAAAAGATCCTTTGGGAACTTGTTTTTTTTTTTTTTTAATTCTACTTTCAGGCGACAATACTCGAAAACAACCGCCTTGTGCAAAAGAACGCTGTAGTATACATGCTAGGCCAGTAGTTGGTGGTGTGACCTTGTAATTCAACAACATGCACTTGCAGACAAATATTTGTGTGGACAGACAATGAGGAGGGGATGTTACTACAAGTGGCCCTAAACAGCAAAGAGAGTCGATTTCAAATAAACTGGGAGTGAGCAGCACAAACAGAACTCAGGAGTCTGTCTTTTGTTGAAGCTGTCCATCTACGCGTGTGGAACCGTAATGTACATGTGTGTAAGGCCACCGTTTTCAAGAAGGAACAGCGTCAGTCTGAAATGGTGCCGTTTGTAAAACTTTGCACTCTTGGATCTGTTTTCAAAACCTTCTGTTTTCTGGCACACAAAACTCCTTCCAACCCCCCTCCCACTGACAGGTAGACGATCAGCCAAAACGCAACTAAATTTGCTGTTTTTGGATGAAAAAGTTGTTGTGTAAATAGGGCCTAAGTGACAGAAAAATCAGATTCTGATGCTAGGAGGGGGAAGGGGCTCACAGACAAAGACACAACCAAGTAGCACGCACTGATTATGTAGAGACTGATAGCAATCTAATGTACACCTATTGTAAACCCTGTTTTATAGCATGCAGAGTAGACATGATCCTGTAGGTTTTTACAGTAGGCTACGTGACACTGGACTGACTGTACCCCAGTGGCTAATAGCTAATGCACAATCTAGCTAGTATCTCTTGCAATGCCATCTCAAAGGCAAAACCCTTTATTTATAAAAAAAAAAACTCCTTCTCTTTGCCTTTTCTAAGACACATTCTTTACACCTAATACACCTTTTGTGTCATGTACTGATCTGAAGACGTGTTTGGTGACACCTATCGGTATACATTCATGTGTGATTTTTATACAAGAATAAAAAAACATCAGCGCCCAAGCCATATTTCCGCTGAATGCACCCTGAGTGAACAGCACAAAGAACCCTTTACTGAGGATGAGGAGCATAAGGAAACAGGTCAAAACGGCTCCAAGGACGAAGACGTCAGCATAGGATGACTGAACTTTTGTTCCACAGAAGCTGAGTCACTGAACCTTGGATGTTCTTGAAGCGCAGGCGGACAAACAAGAGAAAACCTAATCTACCTGTGGCTGATTGATGTCTTCATTCATCTCCTTTTACCCACTGGTGTTATTGCGTGTGCTGAGATTTCATTCTGTAGGGGCTGCCCACACAGGTGACCCAAAAGAGGACGTTCTGGAAACGCTGCTTGGATTGCTTCGAGCATGGCAGCGTCTCAGACACATGCTCACTCGTTTGTCACCGTCTACTAAGCACTCTCTTCTTTCCACTGAGAATAAATTAAGTTTTGTTTTGACATCCTGAACGAGTCTCATGTCCTTTTTTTATGACAATGATAAGAAAAGAAATGTCTCATTAGAGCGTTTGTTTTGGTAGAGGGGTAGTAAATGAGGTCATGAGATGACTCACAGGATAGACTGAGACAATCTCCTAGGGGAGTTGGTCCATTTAGGCTATAAGCAGCTAAAAAAAGGTTCTCTGTCCACTCTCTGCGGCTGAAACAAAACCTCAGGTTGGAAATAGATTGTTAAAGAGTAAGTGAGGTAGAAAATATCAGAATGCTGATATGCTATAAGTATCACAATATTATGTTAGGTGATACTGCAGTAATTATTTAAACCCGTACACTTTATAAATAGAAGTTCACATGGAAATTATGTATTTTACATATTAAGGCAAAAAATTAAAAGTAGCCCAATGTGTGTTACATGGACTGACAAAAACCACAACAGTTAAAACTTTTCTCATGACTGTTTTTTAACGCGGATTCTGTGTGTACATTTGGAATTTTCTCTACCCTTTTATTTACATTTCCTTGTTTGAAATATTGTAGTACATTAAGAACAATACTGTACACGGACAGAGAAAGAAATATGAAATGTTTAGATTTCAGGATACACACTGATCAGAAGCACTTTGGGAGCTCTCTCTTATTACCTGCTCAATCATGAGAATGTCTAAACCAATATGCATCATTCATTACGATGGTTCTTACAGCACCAGCTGTATACAAATACTGTATACTGTATACTTTATACAAATGGCTGGTATGCCCCCAAAAGCCCCTTACAGCGTAATGGCAGTGTTTATGTGGTGGAAGTACGAATAAGATTTTGAGTATTTCAGGGCTCTAATGGAAATTGTTTGTTGTTATTTCAAAAGTAGTCAATAATAATTCCTTCAATATTATATTTATTGTGCCAAAGAATGAAAGTTATATGATACAAACAAAATTATACATTTCTATTTTCACAGTATTAGTTTGAACTGCCATGTGTCACATCAATCACATCATGTTCTGGTTTCAGGCTGTTTTCTTCAGCGTCAAGACAATTTGATGTTGAATGTAATAAATTGTGGTTGTGAAGTTGAAATAGCTGAGAAACAGCCAAAAAACAAATTCAGTATGAGCAGGAATGATTGACATAAATATGGATAACACGCCTCAGTCTCCTCTTGTGAAGCCAAAAACAGCCCTACAATGGGCACAGATATATTGTGCTGGTGATGTAATTTGGTGCTAAAACAGGCGCAGATTGGAGTTAGCTGGTGGAACTGAAGCACATTTAACTTACCGACTTAAATTTACCGCAGATTCTTGTTTTGCACATTTTTTTTTTACATTTTATTCTACCTTTACTATTCCTATCTGCTTATCCGGTCGAGAACTCTGCATGAGCCGTATTTGTCTACAGCAGATCCAAATTACACAAAATTTTCATTAAATAATTTGATTTCACACTAATGAGTTGGTGGTGAGTCCTGAGGTCAGACCAGTTAAGAACCATTGGTCTACAGAGATGTCAATCATGATGTTTAATCTGCTCTTTTTAACATCCAATAATAATTAAAACACTTGACAACTCTGTTTGTACGTTTGCTCCTCTATAAACTGGCATGTCTGACTGTTTTTACATATTCATATCTCAATAAAGTAATAATAATAATAATAATAATAATAAAAAAACTCAGAAAAAGAAATGACTGGTCATTTATCAACAGAATCTGTGTTTCACAAACATGTATTTGACTAGTATAGTAGTTTGATCCATGTCTCATCTGTTAACATGGAGGAGTTTTATGGAATACAAATATTTTGGCTTCATTTTAACGCAACTGTTTCTCAGTCCATCTTTATATACAGTCTGTGGTGAAAATATGTTTCATACATGTTTTAAACCCTTGTAAGTCTTTGTGCTTGTTTTGTGGACATTAGCCAAGAGTTGCATTAGCAGTAGATCTCATGAAGTGTTTTTCAGATATAGGGTTGCTATTTAGTAAACCTGACACGCTGTTTTTAAATCTTCCTATAGGCTTCTTTTTTCTAACAAAATATTCAAGTTGCTGATGTGGTACTTGGCAAAATATAAAATAACATGGGGAACATTAATTGGGAAGTTTTTGGTAGTTTGTGAATTGGCTCATTGCTTTGAGGCAGCATTGGGAAGTGAGATTAGCAGCCACTTTTATTTGTGCAATATCCTGCTGAAGGAAGGGGAGGCTCATCTTTTTAAGTTCACTTTAGACTGATACAGGAAATGGACACAAGAACATCTATTTATCAGGTACAGGGCTGATTATACAGATTTATTCAGAAAACATCTGGAATCTAAAGTACATAATAGATGGACTTTTTTTTTTCAGGCAAGGGATAAGAGAGCTGATGCTTTCTGAAACTCTCAGTTTGATGTTAAAGTAAATTAAAACGCAACGTTGCTCCTTTTGTTACCTGTTTCCCCAATATTGTTAACAGTTCAGACTGCCATCAATAAATGTATTATGGAGATTTTTTTTAGTGAGTCATAACAAAAGGAGTTTAGAATGAGCACGCTGTGAACATTTTAAAGGGGCTGTGTCTTCATTAGAAATAAATTATCTTCTGTGAAATAAATGTTTCATGATTCTCAGTAACAAGGACAACAAAACAATATACTTCTATACTGATCAGCATGTACAAATATACTTACCAGTGATAAGTACACCTCATACTGTACAAGCCCACTCTAAATATACCAAACTATCCCTTTAAAGCTATACCTCTATAGCGGCTGTGTACAAACAAAAAACATTATAGATACATTGGCATCACTTCTAAAGCTAAACACAAAAGACCATATAGGGTAAAAAATGTGGAGCTGTGACTCATGATGTCTTTGAACACTGCTGGATCTGTCATGTAGTCTGTTCCTAAAATGAGACTCTGTTTTGATGTTTCATTGAAAGGTTCAGAGTGGGAAGTGAAAGTGTTGATTCAGACAAATTATCATCTTCACTGCTTTAAAAATCACTTCATGTCTGTCCTATTGCACAGTTAAATTCTATTAGACAATAATTGAATTTGGAAGTGATTGAAATCAAACAGTAATTGTTGTCTAACCGTGGCTAGTAGGTCGTGTTATGTGTTTGCTTAATGTCCTTCTGGAATTTTCTCACTTCGTTGTCTTTTCAATTGCTGATCGATCTGGAAGTAGTAAACGATAGTGATTTGTCAGATTCCCCGTGTTAATATCACTTCCAAACCTCAAACACAGAGTTAATACATTATTACAGCATTTGAACGTCCCACCATGAGCATGACATCTAGTAAGTAATTGGCTGCCATTTGATTATTGTGACGAGGAAACTTCCTGATAACAATGAAAAGCTGTGGTCATCGGAAATTAAAGCTAGCATGGATTATTACTAACTTGATGATTTTGCATGATTTATAGGCTGAAGAGCACAACAAGATGATTTAAAAATATTAAAAGTCTCATTTTGGATACAGTTGTCCACTTTTAGACGTTACACCATGTTGAACAATATGTAAGCACTGAGTCCCACAGCTAATGATACAATTGTGGCTTGATTCCCAATCGCTAAACAGGTAAGTTACAAATTTCTAACCCTGCAACTAAGAGTCAATTTAGTTCACTGGCTGCTGATTCCAAAAAAAATGGCGAAAAACATGTGTCAGTTTTCCCTCTATTTCCTCCTCCCCACTTTTCGCTGGTGTAGAGAAGTGCCTCAGGCTAAAAAAGCGAGAGCACTGTTCCCTGCAGCCAATCACATTGGATCACATCACAAAAGCTGCGGTGTTCAGCTCCTGATGCTGCTACACTAACTATCTGAAGTGGATAAATGGGTGGACTCTTGAAAGGGAGGCAAACTGACGAAGAGACAGAGGGGTAGAGGAGAGAGAAGGAGGGAGACGGGGTTGGAGAGATGCTTTGAGGAGTAATGGTTGCTTGGAGACTGTTGTCAAGGAGACCATGAGTCCTAGAGTCCTTTGGCATCTCAAATGTCTCCTATTGATGTCGATTTTCAGAAAAAGGGAGGTTTTAGGTTTGCTTTTTTTTGTCCCCAGTAGGAGAAAGAGACAAATGGTGATGTCAGACAGATAGAAGGTGAATTCTTCAAACAGAGACAGGCCCGGTTTTGTACAATGTGTCTTTCTGAACAGAGAATGACACATAGATGATTTTATCACATATAAAGGATTTTATCACACTTAAACAGGTCCGATAACTCAGATAATAGCACGCCGTTTGACAGCTGCACAGAAGCCTGCAGGAAACAGAGAGGGAAACAGGGACAATATGATACCATTTCTTTTTTGTGACACCCTATCATTCGCTCAAATCATGACAGAAATCCTCCCTCTCTGTTTCTTTCTGCCGCTGACTCATTCTGTCGGCATTTACTGTGATTTTCAGGCAGAAGAATACTTCACCAGAGCGGGGAAGACAGACAGAGGGAGCTTAAAAGACAGAAAACCCACCTACTGTGTGCCAGTGAAAGCCTGTCGAACTTATCCTCACTTTGCACCAAAGAAATACTATTTCCAGGCAACTGTGAATCGCTAATGAGGTGCATATTCTTTTTCCTGAAGTGTGGGTGTAAGCTAGAAGGTACATCTGGAATTTGTGTGTGTATGGTTAGTAAGGACCAGGTCATGTAGAGGCTGCAGTCATGGCCAGATCCCCCCTATGACCAGTGGCCCTTGTGAAAGCACATTGCAGAATCCCCGGGGAATCCGTGTGATTTGCTTTCAAAGAGCAACGACTCGTTGCACCCAAAAGGTCATTGTTCCTCGTCTTTGTCTCCCGAGTGCAGAGCTGATTACACATTCACAGAGCTATAATAACCAAACAACAATAGGGAGTGAGAACAGAGCGGTCTCGCTGGAATATCTCGCTCTGAAACGACACATGTGTAATTAAAACTGGTCAATGCTAGAAACCCACATGGAAACATCAGGCCGAATGATTGTAATACCGGGTTGAATAAGGCACAAATCAACCTAATTATGGGCTGAATGCCTCTCGCAATGCTCCCTGAGATCAAAGTTATGTGGATTAATAGCAGGGTCAAGAGGTGAGAGAAAACCACAAGATATGGAAAACTTTCAGGAGATCATCATCATGAGATTAGGACTGATTTGCTCACAGGGACAAAATGGCACATCTAACAAGTAAATGAAGTGTCTTCAAGACCATAGACTGTAGATTTTAATGGACAAAGCCTGAGTGACGTCAACCGTCTGTTACTGCAGGGCGCTTTGAAAGCCATGCGGGAAATGCTGTCTCAAAATAACTTTTAGTCAACCTGATGACCGGCTAAAAGCTGGAGCTGAGACGGGTTTTAACTGCCAATTTACACATATTCTGTGTGCGCCGCTGTTGCTAGCAGGCTCCGTCTTTGGAGCGCTGCTTCGTTTCAAATATGCGTAGTTTACTTTTGACAGTGCCCGCTGCAAGCACGAGTCAAGCTAAACAAAATATATTGACGGGACAGGAAATCGGACAAGAAAATTCACAGAGATTACGGTCAATTAAAATAAAAACACACACACACACACACACGATATACTTGCCAGGCCAGAATAACCCACAGCAAAACGGAGGTAAAACAAAATAAAATACTATTCCAGCAGCCATAAAACGGGTATACGGCCATCAAGTGCCAAGTTGAGTAGCAGGCGAGATCCCTAGCGTCCTCGCCTGAAGCAGTGGAGCAGTACCGTAACTGCATAACCTGTATCTTTCATAAAATCAAAAACCGATGAGTTAAAAAAAATGCAACCTTTGTACAGTGTATACCCTTAAGGACAGTAACTAATCAGACCAATATCATTTTTTTGTACCAGGCTGTACAAACAAGCATTTCTGAATGTGGTGTGTATGTAACTTCCGGGTCTGTTCGTGTCAGCCTCACGTGGACACTCGAGGAACTGCAGGTTTCACACTTCATTTTTCAACACCGGAGGTTGCCGCTTGGTCTGAAGCCCCCTGCCTCACCGTGTAAACACTGGAGAAGTTTAATGTGATTTATACATCATGGGGTTGTGCTGCTATATGGTCGATGTGAGGCTGCCATCAAAATCTACTGCTAAAGGCGGAACTAAAGCATTCATAGCAGAACTGTTTTCTTAATTGAATTTTCTTTTTTATCTCAATGAGTGTGAATACATCGTTTCAATGTTAAAGTCACACTGATTCATAACTATTAAATATCTGGTTACACTTCACAACAAGAGTGCGAGTCCCATTACTCAGTAACTCTTCACTCGTGATGACCTAATGTGTTTTAACTAAAGCTCACCCTTAACAAATGAGCTATGAGTTACTGTGAACAGTTTAAGCTTAATGGAGTTTTAATTATTGTATTTGATTCACAGTTACTTTGTACATTCATTTATATGCCATCAAATTAAAAAACAGTGAGCAGTTGACAGCTCACAAAAACCAAACACAAACCGAGGTAAATGCAGAGTCAGGAACATGCCAACATCACCAGGTTTTAGGAACAGACTCAAAGATGAGATAAAACTTTTTCCTTCTATGTAACAATGTTAGTAATTTGATGGCATAAAAATGCATGTAGGACATAATGATTCTTCGCCCAATGATTGAGGATTCCTGAATCATTCATTAATCAAAGTCATAGTGAGCAGATAACAAGAATCATGCATTGAATCATAATGAAAAGTTACCCCTTATTACAAAGTGTAACTGAACATCCTGGTCTATTGTCTTTCTGCTGTCGGTTTGACTCAAGAAACAACTTTGATGTTAAGTTTAATATTTACTTACTATTATCAGTCCTAATTCCATGGAGCTTAAAAGTTTTTGGTGTTTAAAGACACTTCAAAGTACTTTACTACCGTGGAAAGGCAGGATTCTTCTCCCTGATTTAAGTAAACTAATCCTTTAAGTATTCTTCAATGATACATGTGGTCTCCAGAGTCTGTCTAGCCTTCGTTGTGAGCAGACGTATCACTCTGCAGATAGGAACACTTCTATGATGTAACCCAGTGCAATGGAAAACCTGCATCAAAAAACTTATTTTACTTTAGCCATTTTTTTTTTTTTTTTTTTTTTTACACATGCACTCCTGAAAATGTCTAAGAATTGTCAAGACAGCCTGCACCTGGAATCTTTTTTAGTAGCTTATTCATACTTGTCCCTTAGCTTTAAGTTGAAGGGAGGGGTCTCAGGAGGTAAGGTTTAATGTAGATAGGATGCTGTTGAAATACAAGATGGCTGACAAAGCGACAGAGTCTGACCCTTAACTTGTTTATTGCCTTTCTAACAATGCTAAGTGTAAATGGGTTGCAAGAAACCCACGGAAAAGGACATACCGGCAAGCAAACAAAGAGTATTAAGGTAAGACGTGACGTAAAAAAAACAATGTGTAAGTGGCAGACAAAACGCTACAATGAGAATATTTGCCTTTATATCAATGCTACTTGTAGTTCAACAAAAGAGCGTAGAACAACATAGAGACAGAAAACACAATTCAGCCGTTTAGTTACATGCACGGAGACCGTAGCGGACTTCGACATACAGTCTATGCACCGTGCAGCAGTCACAGTATATAAATGTCACTCCCCGTTACAACTCCCTCGAAGTGATTTCTCCGGATAATATCCTGCTGTGTTCTCACATTAGCCCACTCGGACTTGCTGAGGAAAAAAGGGGGGGGGTCCCGGAGAAACTCCAGGTGAAAATCTGAGTGAAAATACGGCTGTTTGCGTTACACATGCAGCTCCTCCAGTTTTTCTGTAAGTGTGAAAGCTCTTATAATCAACACCTGCTCCCACTCAGATTTTTTATGAATATTACCTGCTGTGTTAATACAATGTCTCAACTTGACTTCAGGTGGAAATATAGCATGTGGGTGGTTGGCAGGAAAAAGTCCAGGTAATGTCAGGTTGAAATTCAACTCAAACATCTCCTGAATTTTCAGGCATATTGTGTTTTTGTGCATATGCAAATACAAAATGTGACTTCCTTCAAGGATTTTTATACGCTGACTTCGGTCCATTGTGTTTTTTAGACTAACATGTGGAAGAGGAAAATACATATAAAGAGAAATCCACACAATCAAAGCCTAAATATTTCCATTAGTTGAATAGTGTAGATTATATATTATTTAGCTGTGACATCGTTTCAAACTTCTGCCAAAAAGTCACTTTAAGAATCAGAGCCATGTTTGTTCGCTATGAAGATGATCTTCTTCATCTTTAGTGAGTCTGTAATCACACTATGTCCAGTATGGAAAACGTGATGTTGTTTGTGTGTCTAACAGTCTATAGATGCTCTCTGACAGAGTGCCTTTACTGTCTCTCCCTCAATGAGAACACATGCTGTTCTGCAGCGTGGCATCCCGTGGCTCATTCCTCTTTGCGACTGAGATGCATCTATCAAGAGAAGAGGCTTCCTTCCATCTAATCAATATGTAATCAATGTTCTCCTCTGTGACTAAGCTGATGTTTCCCCAACAAGCCTGCAACAGAAGGAACTCAATGCCGACGCTCAATTGCTGGTGTTTGTGAAATGAATGTATGACATTCAGGAAAACAAATAAATTGCTATGTCTGATTGTAATTCAACCACTTTACACATTTCAGGTATAAATGTGCATACATTTATTCTTCAACAGAATTTTAAGCCTGAAGAAACACTATGAAGAAACACTATGAAGAAACACTTTTAGATGAGTGACAAACTTGAAAGAAATAAGACGGAGTCACTTTTTGGCATTCAGTTTGTTTTTCAGTTTTCCTTACGTGAAAATGTGAGATTTATGAGCTTCTGTTTCCCAACTGATTTGATCCCCTGCACCACTGAGTGAACAAATATCAGTGAATAAACGTTCCAACAGCACCATCTAGTGGTGATGTTGGTCCAAACATCAGAGTGTAAAAGTGTGGATACTCTATTTGCAGGGGTCTTTTTGAGGAGTGAAAATTAGCACATAATGAAGGAATTAATAATGGAACATTTTCTTCTTATATTTTGAAACCAAATTATAAAAACAGTAAATTACAAAAACATGTTTTTTTTTTATTCAAGAATTTCACTGAACAGCTTCCTCTTCTTGGACTCGCCGGTCTGGATTTCCTGCCAGTGAGCTCTCCTGTGGATGAAGTGGGAGAGGGCAAATTTGGCCCACACATGCCGGGCGAACTGGTCTGACCTCAGCTGGCTTTCACTCGACACTAGAAAGGAACAGTTTGAGGGAGGAGAGGAAAAGGTTGAAGCACGAGCAGCCATCCCTTACAGTCAGGGTATTTGGAAAGTTGGGTGGCGTATTACCTAGTTCCTGTGCGATGTTGTGCCTGTGACTGACCGAGGCACCGTTCCATATGGCCTCCAGCACCCGACTGCCCAACCTGGAGCACGCCATCTGAACGTACTGACCCTGAGGAAAGGGTGGTGATCCGTGGAAAGAAAGTTTTAGTAATCAATAAACCAGTAGGTGATTATAAAGATCAGTGATCAGTAAGTGATTTTCTTGTTGGTGTGGCTTCCTGTCTGTCTTTGTGCTTCGATTGCAGGTACCCTCCCTTGATTGGGGAAAGGCTAACGGTGCATGCAGGCTGCTGATTGGAGGGAAGCTGGTGCTGCATAACCTGCACTTTATTGGAGGAAAGTTGAGGGCGCTGCAGAACCCTCTTTCTCACCTCCAGAAAGATGTTTAGCGAGACTGAGAAATTGTGTGGGTTTTTTTTTTTTTTTTGATATATTGACATTTTGTTTTGTGCAGACCTGGTTAGTTTAGAGTGGAGAGTAACCTTTTCTTTTGAATAATAATTTTCTCCAGTTTTTGATCAAGATGATTTTGTTCAGTATTTTGGCCTGTGCTCTCACTGAAGTTTGACAGTTTTATGTTTAGTAATGAATGAATTATTGTGGACAGCAAATGTATTTGGTTGTGACTCATCATTGGGAGGGAGGAAGGAGAGGGTCACTTTTGTGCTGTGTTTTAACAACCCTACCTAACGAGGACATGGTAACGGAGAAGCATCACAGTGACATGATACTGATGTTCTTGAAAGAGAGAGTTTTGACATCTTAAAACTTGAGACACCACATAAAAAAAACAATATTTAGGTCATTTAAGTATACTTGAACTTCTCTTCATAAATGATATACTGTCTCTTCATAAATGATATACTTGCTCTTGTACATCTAATTCCAACTGTTGTGATTTATGTCAGAGTTTTCATTATTTATTTTTAGTTTATATTACATACTTTATGAGGGAAATTCTGATTTACACTGTTATTGAGAGACATGCTTTTCACACACAAAGGCCCAAATCACACACATACACAAACATGACCGGAGGACATGTATCAGTGGAGAGAAGTCAGAGTGGGGACCCTCCGTACCCCAACCATAGTCCCTACAGAGTGAGCTACTGCGCCCATTATGTCACCAGTGTTTATTATTAAGCACTTTTTGAGTAGCGTTACACACAAGGAGAGTCTAAACACAGTGGGGTCTTCAGCTGCTTTTTTAAATAAATCATGGGATATTCTTTTTGCAGCATTGTAGTGGAGAGAAGTCAGAGTGGGACCCTCCGTACCCCAACCATAGTCCCTACAGAGTGAGCTACTGCCGCCCCATTATGTCACCAGTGTTATTATTAAGCACTTTTGAGTTAGCGTTACACCAAGGAGAGTCTAAACACAGTGGGGTCTTCAGCTGCTTTTTTAAATAAATCATGGGATATTCACTTTGTTCTTTTGCAGCATTGTTTTTTTGTTTTGTTTTTTAAATCACCCTGGAAGTTTGTTCAAAGCTGCTAAAAATAAGAATAATTTGGAAGCATTGTTTTTTTTGTTTTGTTTTTAAATCACCTGGAAGTTTGTTCAAAGCTGCAAAAATAAGAATAATTTGGAAATGAAAGACGAGGAAGGCGAGAGATGCACAAAACATCCGTTGAGAAAAGTTCATTCTTCTGTTCTTTTATACGTCACTGCGATTCTGGCCGTTTCCCTTCTCTTTGATCGCAAAACGAAGTTCACGTGTGCCTTCAGCTCTCTAATATAATCAGACATTTTATTTCATCATCTCCTCGAGACGCTTTTGTCTACAGAGAGAAGACACTGGAAACGTATTAAGAAGAGTTCCAGCAGCAGCGTTGAAGCAGAGCTGCAGTCTGTGTCCTGACTGCAGACTTCACTGTGAAATGTGATCCTCAAACTGAAGCACAGCAACTACAACTTGTAGGTCATGCTTGTAGTCATCTTTACATTTTTTTTTGCCTTTTAATAGAATCACTAAGAGAGATGGGAAAGAGAGAGGGGATGACATGTGCCAAAGTGTTGTTGATCAGGTAAAACCAGCAAGCATTGCACCAACGGCCTGTAGCCTCTGCTGCTGGATGCTGCTTACAACTGAGCACACTACACCAAATTGCAGTTTCTTTCCACCCCAACAAATCCATTTAAGGACCAAAGCCAACTAATTGCTGTTTTTTTCTTTTAATACATTCCATCTTCCCCAGCCTGTATGTGGCAGCACCATCTGATTTGTTCCCACTAACCACAGTCACACACACAAACATTTAAAAACTAGAATCACTGCCTTGAGCCGTATGCCTCCAGCAACAAGTCAGGTTTAGATCAATCGATGTTTGCTGCAGAACAGTAAAGAAACTGTGGCTGGGCAAAGTGATTGACTAACAGTAAACAGCTACTGAAGAACAACAGCAGCCTCACAACAAACACAAAAAGCAGCATTGGAAGTTCTACATTAAATCTGAGAGGTCGACCCAAAGCCACCGCTGCAATTGCAGGAGTGCAAAAAAACTGCAGTTCCTTAAACGTCCACTTGAGGTTGGCTGCAACGATGCCCCATTTAGCCATATTAGCGTGTCCATTTTTAGCCTCGACATCTTCTTCTGTTATTGTAGTATTTATTGGGAACCCCGGCAACAGATCTCTTCCTGAGCTATTTCACTCACAAGACAGGGACTGGAACAACGGCCAGGAGGAACGTATTTTCATAGCACTAAATGATTTCACAGTGAATTGACTTTCACTTCACTTCATCATTTTTAATCCTATTATCCTTTTCTGTGAAATCGTGTCATATTTCAGCTCACGAGTTCTTGAGTTCCAGCCCTTCAAATGTTTTTTTGACCTTTAAAAAACTAATTCGAATTAGTTCATGCTCAAGTCCAAGCGACATTTGTGCCAAACACGAAGACAAGTCCAGTCTTCCTGAGATACTGTGTCACATAAGTGGAAAGACAGACAGACGACCCGTAAACATCTGGCCCTTGGACACCCCGATGCCGCACGGAGAAATAACAAGAGATATTCACTGACACAGCTGGTCTTTGTAGTTTTCTAACACGGTGACCAACCTTTGAGGATTATCTTTATTTGTTTATTTGTGAAAAATGAATGCGGGATGTGAAACAGTTTAACTGAATGAACTATAACATCCATGTTAGATAAGGAAGCTGACAAATAAACATTCACGTCCTGTACTGTATCTTCTTATTGGGAGAAGTAACCTCTTAAAATGTGAATCGGATTCATTAATGTTAGATTTAAAACGTATAAACCTGTAACCAGATACACCAAGCACACCCATCACCATAGCACAGGCCTATTCAAACTTGGGCTCCCCGGGTCAGATAGGGCCCTATTATCTTTCTAAGGTCCTTTGAGGCTGCTGAGGTCAGTCCGTTGTGTCTGCAATACAATGAATATTACTGAGGTAATGAACATGACGGCTTCCTCCCACACACACATGCTGCACACCCCGGTTAATTGACACTTTACCAAGTAAGTTTGTTGAGAAATTTAGTTTTTCATATATGTATTTTTTCATTGTCTCGATCCATGATCAGTTAATAAATGTGTACTCTCCTCTTGCTCCGCCCCTCCTGCTCCTCCTCCTGCTCCCTCATTGTCTCACACACACACACACACACACACACCACACACACACACACACACACACACACACACACACACACACACACACCACACACACACACACACACACACACACACCACACACACAACACACACACACACACACACACACACACACACACACACACACACACACACACACACACACCACACAACACACCACACACACACACACCACACACACACCACACACACACAGTGCTGAAAAACACTCTTATTCTGTCCCTCCTACAAACGCATTGGCTGTTTTAAGAGGACTCCTGTTCAGTGGCAACTTGTGCAGCTGTTAGTAAGAGATTGAATTCAGTTACAGGCTAAAAGAGCTGATTGCCTGCAGTACAAACAGACAACTGGATGAATAGTATGAATCAAAATTGGAATATGGTACAGTCGGTGAAGGGAGCTTTGTATTCACTGATAACATTGTTTTTCTACGTGCTAAATTCATGAAACATAAAGCAGCTTCAACTAAACTGACATCCAGTTGATGTCCGTTGTAGTATTTTAAAAGTGCGTACAGGAAGAGCTGACGTCTAAAGTGAAACATCCTCACAAAGCCCCAGGTGCTCGTACCTCCAGTCTCTTGAGGATCTTCCCTCTTCCCTTGTCGCTCGATGTGGTGATGAGCGCCTGCAGCACGTGGCTGCCTGACGGGTGAGAGGCCATGGTCAGGAGGTCAGCGGGGGACAGGGTGCGCAGGCTGCTGAGGAGGAGCGAGCGCTCTTTGAACCTGGCGAGGGCCTGGACGAGGAGGGAGCCGTGGTAACAGATGGAGGACAGCGGGACCTGGAGACCATCAAAAGAAGGACGGATATGTAACCCGCGCAGTTATTCGACATGATCATAAATGCAGGCTGCAGTCAGTTTTCATCTCTTTGTTGTTTGTAATTAACTGAAATGTCAACACTACAATTCAAATCCAGCCTCAGATGCTCTGATTAGACTCCTCTGAGGTGTTTACCTCTGTCTGTGTGCCGCCCTCTGCTGTCTCAGAGTGGTAGTACACGTCATAGGTGAGCAGGGACATGAAGAGAGGGAGGCAGCTGACGTGTCGAGAGCCCGGCTCGGCACAGTGAAACGCCTGTGAGGAAACACATCAGCAGGGGTTTCCATAAGCCACGCATCAAGCTGTATTATCTTTATTTTGTTGTCACACACTTGAAATCGGAGCCATAAAGAGGGAGAATAAAAAGAAACCAGGGTATTGTTCTATCAAGGATTCATGACCCAGGTTGACCGCCAATAATAAACTCTCTTTGATACTTACACGGAGGAGGCTCTGCATCAAGTCCTCCTGTTTCTCTTCACTCTCTGCGCAGCTCTGCGCCAGCTGCACAATCACACCCATGTGACCTGAAGCCAAGATGGCCTCCACGCCTTGGATCAGCTCATCAAACAACTTCAGGAACTGTAGAGGAAGTCAAACAGAGAAAATGCAGTCATGTACGACATCATGGAATCCTGTACCATGTGACCTGCAGACACGATAACTAACCAGTTGGTATTTGGCCGAGGCCGCAGTCAGCCTCTGTACGGGGAAGTTGGCGATGGGATGGAGGGCCAAGTCTACCAGGTGACCCTGCAGGTGGTTCCTGTATAGATCTCGGAGAAGGGACTTGTGGGACAGCTGTATGATGGTTTCAATGAGACGACTGGAGGCCTGGTCCTTAAGAAAGACCAGGAGCGGACTAAAAAGAGAAAAATCACATGACATGAATTTACTTCACATGGCATACCTTTACAAAATAATCATAGAAGAAGAGATCAGTCATCTCTGACCTGACTCCCGGGGCGGCACTGCGACTCGCCAGGTACTCCGTGATGCGTTTGAGGAGCTGTTTGCAGAGTTTGGGTCGTTTTCTGTGACAAACAGTCAACATGGTCTGGAACACGGCACTGGCAGCAGCATCTGTCACACTTACTGGAGAGGAAAGAGAAGCAGAGAGAGAGGGAAATGTTACTTTCTGCTATTCTAAGGAAGCCCTGCAGCGAAATAAAAGTTAGATTTACTGTCAGTGTATCAGCAAAAGTACAATGTGAGTTTCCTAGAGGTCTAATAAATGTCAAGGAAAGTTTTTCTTTTAGAGCCAGAGCAATAAATCTGTCTGGCTTCATGTCTGATAGAAGCTTAATGCAGATATGTATCAATACATGTCTGTATCCAAAGGTCACACTTCTGTAGACTGGAGGTCATTTTGAGCATTTAGCTCATTGCAGTGGATACAGACAGGTCGATTTTTAAACTGTAAATGTCCCTCTGAGTATGTATCTACGTACGTACGTTGTTTTAAAAAATGAAGACAAAAATAAATAAAACGTAAGTACCCGACCCGTACAATACATTTGCTTAAAATGCAGATGTTGTTATCAGTATGGGTCTAGCTATGAACCAGAGATGTTATTGACAAAGAACGAAAGAGCTGAAAAAATAACCCCAAGTGGAGATGGTCCAGAAGTGTATCCATGTCAAATGATGATCAAATGGTGATCACAGATACGAACAGTCACAGGCCACTAAGGCCTTGACTTCTGACGTCAAGTCGGCAAGTCGGGCACCTCATTCTTTGCTGAGTTTACAAGTTGCTGATCCGACTTGAGCAGGCGTCATTTGTATTTTACAACTCGCAAACTCGTTTTTTCCGATGTGTCAGACAACAAATGAACGCACCATAATTCCTTTTCTTGCACAAATCGACATCCTGCCCTCTCTGCCTGGTTTAAGGTGCTGGCTCAGCAGCCAATAGGCAGAGTCAGGAAGGACATCAGTTAACAGTGGACACCTGAATAAATGAGGCCTCGGCTTCTTAAAGTGGCTTCCACTCAGACATCTCTCTCTCTCCTCTCTCAGGCCTCCACCTGCTGGTCGGGTTGTGTTCTGCACTTCACAACACTCCACTGATCCATACATTGTATTCATCACTGATTTGTCATACTTACATATTTTACGATAGTTTTACATTTAGTTTATAATGCCTTCTTTTAAACCTTGTTTGGTTCCCTTCTTTGTAACTTACTTTTAGCCATGTGTGACAAAAAAGATAAAACATGCTGAGCATCTATGAATAATCTCTAAATAGATTGATACAAAGATGATTGATTTCCTCCTCGTACTGTTACCTCTAATTGTAACTAAGTGAAGGCAGAAAACCTTTCTTTACTCTCATACCCACCACAGAGCACTTTGTCTCTTATTGGATGAAATGGACTTCATGAAGCTTGTAAAACTGTTTCTTGTTTTCACTTCCAAACTGCACAGACACTCGTGATGTTTTCTCAGAGTGACTGGGCTTAGTGCACTAAAGCATGGTGCAGCTCCTCTACCGTTAAACCTGCTCCAATGAGATGCAAAGAAACCACCTGAATGTTTAAAGGGTTTGCAAAGAGGGAAATGTACCCTTGACTGTGCTGCCACAACATTGTCTGCTGATGGAAATTATTCAATAATATGCCTGCTCCGAGTTTAAAACTGAGCCTCTTTCTATTCAAATTCATCTCAATAAAACAGAAACCCAATTCACAAATACTAGCACTGCTATTAAAGGAACATAACATGACCTTACTATATCATTAGACATTAAGGAAACATGCAGAGCACCAAGTACGTCCTTCTTCTAAAGCCATTTTTCACATCTGCACTCCTGAAAAAAACTAGATCATTTCAGGAGGACTGCTCTGGATGCTCTCCTGACCTGCCTGTTCACATATGCTCCTCACAGCTGGAGAATATCCCTGTCAGACGGGAGGGGGGGGGGGGGTCTCCTAAGGTACATCTTTACATAAAAAACAACATGGAAGGAGCAGACAAAGCAACAGAGACTGCTACACGACTCTATAATGGCAATATAAAACCTTTATATCAATGCTACGTATAGTTAGACGGAATCATATTATCAACGAAAGAGTGGAGAAGAACAGCCTGATGAACAACAAAGATTATTCAGCAGTTTAATCACGTGCATGGAGATCGTAGCAGCCTTGCGCACACACTACGCACCGTGCAGCAGTCACAGTTTATAAACGTCACTCCCCCTCTCCCTTTGGCTTGAGCTGAATTCTCCGCAGAATATCCTGCTGCGTTCTCACGTCAGCTCATTCGGACTTGCTGCAGAAAAAATACTCGAGGTCTGGCAGGAGAAACTCTGGAAGTCCGTGTCTGTTTGAGTCACACAATGCAGCTCCTCCGGGATATATCAGCAGCTTTTCTTTTTTTTTAGCAGTTTTCTGCAAGTGTGAACGCACTTTGATATGCAGGGGTAATTTGAATGAAAGTAGACGTGTCTTCAGTGAGTTGGAGAGAACTGAATTTTCTCGGGGAGTCACAGTGACTCTTATTTTCTCAACAATGTTACTTTGATGCAACCAAACGGTCAGTAAATAGTATGTTAAGTTTCTAATGGTACGTGGGGTTCAATCTTTAGGGGTTGTTCAGGGATCAACGGTAGTAGCACACTTTTTCCACTAGTGTGGAGCCGGTCTGGAGACGTTACACAGCACAGGGATCTGAGAGGTATTTTATCAGGACGCTGTCCTCCTACTGGCTGAAATTATTCACTTCTATCAGACATTGAAATTAAAACCAGTATCACTTATGTTAGCTTTTAAGTGCAAGTCTCGTAGCAGAGAAAAGACATGGACAGGAGTTCTACACAAACATTAGCAGAGCTAGTTGCACTAACCTGCAGAATTTAATTGTTGTAATATCATTAGCAGAAAACGTTTTTTGAATCCGACCCTGAGTGCGGGCAGATAGCCGTGGTCAGAGAAGTACAACTCACGGTAGTATGTGCTGCCTTATCCCTGTTCTTTGTTCATCTGCCCCTCAGGCTTCTGCTATGTCTATGAAATAATGAGTTTCCTCTCGTCCCTGTGCAGAGCTCTGTTAAAAGCCACTTAGCTTTCTCTGCAGCGTGCATGCACTCAATCCTCAGGTTATGTATCGACCATTTCATTTATTTTGATATCAAACCACAAGGTCGGATTTATCATATAAATAATAACCACAAACTTGATGACATTGGATTGAAAAAAAAACAATCTGCCCTTGAGCACTTCCTCTGGGACTCCCGTCAGAGTCCTCACATGCATTTAGCATGCTTAAACGGTTTGCTGATTTCCGGGAGCAATGTCAGAGCCGTCAGCAGGGTAAAGGAAAAACAAATGACAGCATGGCCAGAAGCTCTTTTTTCAGAGAAGGAAAAGAAAGACAAGAGAGAAGCACGAACTCCACAGAAAGAGTTTAAACAATTATAAACTAAAGTCAAACAGAACATTTAACTAAAGCCTGTTACACGGTGTCTAAGGCGAGTTTATGAAACTGTAACTTTTATGATCACAAAGTGTTCTGCACTTGTGCAAAAAAGACAGAGGGTTCCAGGACTGCCTTTTACTCTACGAACACACTATTTACAAAAATCCTACAAGATTCTGGATTCATGATTTAAGGTCTATCTTTGAATTAGTACATACTTCTGGGTGAATTTCTTGTTGCTCCATCTGACATTCTACTGAGTGAAAGAGCTAGCATTAGCACTTGTGACTGACTGATTAGCCAAAAGAAATAAATCTTTTTTTGGAAGTTATGAATCTATTTAACATCTCTTTTTTTCCTCAATGGAACTGCACAGGTAATAGGTCACATTATAGGTTGAACAAGTTTTGAAATTATATTTGACCAGAGTGTGTAGACTTTATATATCCACTGTATATCATACATCAACCAGGAGCCCCCCCGTCCCCCCCGACACTACAGTTGGTTTGATCCAAAAGTCCAAAATAAATCCTTTGCTGTTGTCTCTCTGCCTTTCAGTTTAAGAGTGAGGAGTGTGTCCTGCTAGCTTTCTACAACAGAACCTACAATCAGAAAGAAGAAAATTGTACTTCCTGTTTTGAATCAACAGTTATGTGTCAGAGAAATCAAACCAGTTCGTGTTCTGGACCTGAACACTGACATTTCTCCTCTACAATCCCCGCTGTAACTTGTGTCGGTGTGTCCTGACCATCAAACGCCCCTCTTTAAAATAGAGTGCAGCTCTATTAAAGTAAAGGGCATGAGTGTGTGAGTGAGTGAGTGTGTGAGTGAGTGTGTGAGTGAGTGGGAGAGAGATGATAAGAGGTGAATGTGAGAGAAAGGTTAGCAGGGAGGTTGTCAGTCTGGCAGTAGGCTGGCTAACGTTTAACTTTCAAGGCCAGGACGCCCCTGAGCGTGGACAATGAAGCAACCTTCAACGTTTCCACCTCCATCTCGCCTTTTACTACACATTATAAAGCACTACACGTCCCTTCAGATACCTAAAATTAAATAACGCTGATGACAACACCCAGAAAGAGTTATGGATACAGATATTTCCCTGAGTTAGAAGAGGTAGTCAAAGACATCCCCCCCATTATCCCAGAGTTATAAAACAACATATAGATCTACATGTTACGTGTGTCTGGATCTAAGCAAACATGACTCACGGTTGACATTTTCCATCAGGGTTTCGGTGAGGTTCTTCAGCTCGTACCAAAAAGACGTGGGGATTTCAAAGTCTGTGAGCTGAGGAGCGACGTTTCGCTCTTTTGCACCTGGAAGAGAAGAGGGAGCGAGATGTGAGGGGAAGATGCTGCGTGAGCTGAAAGAGACAGGTGCATGTTTTTGTTCTGGAAACAAAAAGAGTGGTTAAGTGTGGGCTGCTCAACAACAGTCAACAGATGCAGCTGCAGCACGGAGAGTGACTCACAGCTCTAAGAGACCAGTAAGTTATTTATTTCTCTGCTGACGTGATACAAACATTTTGAGGTTTAGCATGACTTTTATGTTCGATCACATTCTGACATTGCCTCTGATGTTCATCACGAGTCAACATCTATCCGGCATGTGATTACAAAAAAATCAGTTAAGTGTACAGAACATAGTGTAGTGCTTTACTTTTTTTTTCAGATTTGATTTTGGGCTTTTTGTGCTTTTATTGGAGAGACAGGACAGTGGAGTGCAAAATCAGGGGGGGGGGGGAGAGAGAGAGAGAGAGGGGAATGATATGCGGTAAAGGAGCCAGAGCTCGGATTCGATCCTGGGCCGCCCACTTGGAGGACTGAAGCCTCCGTACATGTTGTGCGCGCACTAACCACTGCACCACCAGCCCCCTGTAGTGCTTAACTTTAAGTATAAAAACTTAATTTACCACATCTTGAAGAATCCTAATGAACCAATTTATGGCTTTTCTGCATCATTTTCTCATGCTGATTCACTCATTTGTGCTTTTTTTGTAAAGACAAATATTTGTGCATTTGGCACCAAATTAAGCATCCTTGGGTTTCATGAAAGGCGCTATATAAATCTAAATTATATAAATATATATATAAATCCAAGTTATTATTATTATTATAAAATCACAAAAAGAAGTTAATTCATAGTGATTTTAAAATATCTGGTGATTACTTCAGGGGTGCTAAAATTACATTCAGAGGTGCCTCAGTCTTACATGGCCGACACTTCACAGTAATACTGAGTTTCTAATCTCTATATCCACACACCTGCATGTGAAAGCCAACATCAGGACTTTTGCTGATTGTGGTTTTCTGGTTTTAGTAACAGTAGTTTTTGTCAAATCACATTTGAGAAATAATTTTTGAACACCAGGCTTCTTGTAGGATTTTTTCGTAAGTGGTCTGTTTGGGAGAGCAAAAGAAGGGCAACATAAAAGCGTGCAGCCCAAAGTGTGTCACAAAAGAACAGACAGGGAGGGGAAAAATAAACAGGAAAGGACTATAATAGATACATTCTTAAAAGACTACAACAGGAAACACTGTAATCAAATAACACCTAGGGTATAAAATGGGTACTGCAGTCCAGATTCTAAACATTGGAGAGAGCCGTCTCCCCCGGCCCCCTTGCAAAAGTTAATTCAGCATGACTTTAAATGGTGCAAATATTTCCAATATAAAAATGATCGAGACGAGACATGACTCAAGTTGCAGCCCAAAAAACTAACATTTTGCTTCAATTTTAAATTTCTCAAACCCCCTTATTACTGGAACTGTAGCATTGAGTCGGATGATTAATACTGTACAAATATTCAGAGTGACAAATGATTCTTTTGAACATTTCTGAAGTTGCCCTCGCTCTACTTTGGGAAGGTTGGAGGTTCGGTTGTCTTAACTTTGAGAGTAGAAAATTAAAGTAAAAATGAAAAAGGACAGCGTTAGGTGGAACCATGAATCATTTGTGTGTGCGTACCAGGACGGGACTCGCTCCGTGGTGGTCCGAGGCAGCCGGCCAGCACGTGCAAAAGTGTGCGGACCACGTGTGAGCCGTGAACGTGTTTGATGAACTCTGGGCAGTTTTCTCTCACCACCTGGCTCACAGACAACACCTGGGCCTCCAACACAGCAGAACCCTCCTCCTCTTCTTCTTCTTCTGTGGTGGCAGACGGCTCCTTCTTTGACGACTCTGTAAATAAATCAACACGAAGTGGACACACACGAGCTGAGCTGCCACATGTTTTAAAATATTATTTTTCTATCCATGTATAGCTTCTGAAACGTGTGACCTTACCCGTCCACCTGGACATCTGTCTGACTGCACTCTCCACTATGTGGCCGCCACACTTGTCGCAAGACACCTCTTTGAACTCGGACCCTGATTCTCCACCCAGTTCAGCCAGCAGCTCCCCCACCTGGTCGGGACTGGAGAGCGGGAGCAGCCGCTGCAGCGTGATGCTTCCCGTCTGGTCCTTAGCCACCAAGAGCGCTTTACCTTTAACTTCAGCGAGGACATTCTCCACAAAAATATCTAAAGAAGGTCAAGAGACAGAGCAAGGATTCCACCGTTACAGAGTGTGCAGACAACGTTACTGTAGCAGGACTCAACAGAAGCATGATGACTCTTTATGATAGTAGTTACTAACTTTAAGTAGTTACTCATTTTCAGTAACGTGCCCAACACGGCTCATAACATTAAACAGAGTAAGGTTAGTAAGAAATGAGACAGTCTGTTTTAAAGAGAGCTGAAAGAGTCAATTCAAGAAGTCGATGTTTAGAAAATAAAAGATCATCTATTTTGATAATCATTATTCAGAGTGTAGTATTTCCTTGATCAAAATCAATCCCACTTTGGGTTTTAACTGCAGACTGATTGGTAAAGGAAGCTATTTGAAAGCTTCCACACTGAACCAAGAGAAATGTTTGATTTTTAAAGGGAGAAAATAATCAGACAATAAATCAACACATGAAGCTGTTGTAAGCTGAAGCGACAGTTTGGATGTTTTTGGTAACATTGGAGATCCAGTCCAGTTAAAGCAATATATAATACAACCTTTATTCTGCCAAACAAGGTGGAGAAGTTTCTCAGAGGCTCAGGTCTGAAAACAGGTAGCTTTCTAAGAACGGTCTTTAAACACAGCCTACAATATTTTTGAATGAGTGTAAAGTTAATACGTAAAGACAATCATTACTAATTTGTCTACTAAGGAAATATTTCAGCCTGTGTCAATAAAAGATTTTAGGTTTCACCTATTTGTTGTCTTGTATCGTGGACTTCTTTAAAAGAGGAATGTATTCTAGAGCAGTTAAGACCCCCAAATCTAACTTTCTTTCTTTCGTTTGTAAATTAAAGAAAGGACTGCAACCAAAGATTGCATGCTAATTCAGGATTCGAGGCGAGCTTGTTTGGACAAACGGGAGTCATGGAGCGCAGATCTCTGTGAACAGAAGGTCTAGGTGGCGTCATCTCTCAGATCTCCAGAGCAGTTCTCACCTCTCTCCTCGCGATCCTCAAAGCCTTCACTGAGTCTCTCCCCGACTCGGCGGAAATATCCCACACTCATGGCGTCCAGGCGCTTCCTGCCACCGTCTCCCTGACCCTTATCTCCTTCGCCACCTTCCCGCCTCTTCCTCTGTCCTCCTCCTCCTCCTCCTCCATCTTCACCGGGATGTCTCCTCTTCTGCGGCTTTCTCTCCTCTGGTTTAGCCAGCATAGCTCAGAGGAACCCAAGACGGACGTGTTTTATCTTGTTATCTGAGAGGCTCAGTGTGATCTTCAGGCTGAAGTGGGGAGCAGATGAAGGGAACACATGAGGGGATCAATGGTCTGCTTTAAGTTATATATCATAAGTGGTATAACTCCAAACTTCTCATTACATTTCAGTTTGTATTTAGTGGAGAAAAAAATAACACAAGAACAGCTTTTTAAAACTATGAAATCAATAGAAGTGGAGTAAAGAGTTTGAGAATTTGTAATATGTTAATCCTTTCAAAGCTGGGTCGATGATAAAGGGAGATTGTAATAAATAAATGTATGTAAACAAAAGATATTCAACTGGAAGGTGCAAAGTGCAATGACATAAAAGAGAGGACGTGTAAACAAATGTCTACCGGGCTTTTAAATGAAACATTTCTCTTTATACATAAGAAATATGAAGCGATACAAAACAGTAATTACGGCTGTTTAGAAAATGTTGCTGTACTCACGTGTGAAACGCGAAGGACCAGCGGTGTATCGTGCGACGCGCAGTGATGACGCAAAGCTGGCGACTTCTGGTTTCTTCTTCTTCTTCGTTGTTGTTGTTGTTGTTTATTGACGTTTTGCGAACCAGCTTAGAGGCGCATTGCCGCCACCAACTGGACTGGAGTGTAAAACAGGAGATTAGACCTGACTTCTGTTTGTGGGAGCCCAAAACCTTTTTCTATCACTCACATTTATTTATCTGTTTTCTATGGAAGCCCATTTCCGCCAGTTAAAAAAATAAAAATGAGATCATAATTATGAGATAAAAAATATAAAAAAGAATGAATATGACTTTAGTATCTCATAATTTCTTTTTATCTCTTTATTATTTTTATTTTTTTAACTGGCGGAAATGGGCATCCATAGTTTTCTCCTGATCACGGGAACATATTTAGCTGTTAATAATCAAGCATTCCTCAGAAAATTTAAACTAGGCCTATATCTGCAGTTACTAATATCTAGCCTAATACCTTTTACTAACAATTTAATCTAATTATTGACTTAATAGTGACCTAATTACATTTATTTTTTGGAATCAACATTGATTAAAAATGTCTCCTGCGAGATGATAACTAGAAGTGGGTAGGCATGTCCAAAAATAAAACAAATAGGCTACCACCAAACCAATACTTTGTTGAGTATTGATAATTAAGAGGTTTTTCAGCTATATGAAAACCATTTGTTGTGAAAAAAACAATGTGATTTGATTAATAACCAGGGGCATAAATGGGGAGATCAGAAGAAGGCTAATAATAAAACATTCTCATGAACCATGATTCATTCCTATATTGCTCCCAGTCCACTTATTGTCCGCTCCTTTAATAAACAATTGCCCGCTTGCCAAAATGAATCATTCAATCATTGTTTTATATTGTACATTAATCATATTGCCTACATTCGTTTGGTGCACATATATATTTTTGGAGCATCCAGCAGAGGGCATTGTTGTTACTCTCCTGTTAAAAGTGTTTAACAAGGTTTCTTCTCTGTGGGTGGTAATGATCAGAGGTGTGGGGTTCATGCCCAGGCATGTGACTCAGTCAAAAAAAAGATCTGCAGCCAGACTTCAGCTCCAGTGACTCAGGACTTGATCTGAACTTTTGACATGCATGACTTTACCAAACACAAGACAAAGAAAAACCTCAGAGGATGTCGGCCTCTAAAACGCAGCCCAGATTTTGAAGAGCCTTTTCATTTATTATTTTAAGTTATATCACAATTATTATAGCACAAGTCAGGGGCAGAAAAAAAGGTTATGGGATGTAATATGACTGTATAAAACGTGTTTTATTTCATGACTACTATATATACTACGTATATTCCAGCCAACACAAAAATAATTTGGTCCAAATAAACCAAGTCCGAATACCTTCATTCCAGTCCGTATATCTTCCTGGCTTTGATTGAGCATAATGTTGTTGTTTTTCCTGCTCTATCTTATAATAGATGGGCAGAGCTCCTCATGTGTTTTCACTTCCTAAGGGGTTTTTGTTGTTGTTGAGGTTTGAGGCACATACTTTAAATTAAAAACAGCCTGAATACATCTTTAACACCAAACCAAAGAATCACAGTGAGTTTGGACAAATAAAAACATACTTAGTAAAAAAATTATGTTTTCTGTGCTGATGTACGTGATCATGAGCTGCATTTCAGAGGAAGACTCTTGCGAAATAATGGCACTGCTATCCCTTCTGTGGCAACAATGACAGCATCATGCTTCAAAAGAAAAATGACATACCATGATTCCAGACCATGTGTGGGAAATAATAAAATGAATCAGAGATGAGGGGCGTCGAGATGGTGCTAGTTCTGATTATGATGGAAACACAGCATATTTTGCAATATTTTCCAGAGAAAAATGAACATGGAAAAGCTGAATGTGCCAAGATTTCTTCAAATGAAGTGTGTCAACAAAGAGATAAATAATGATCTTAAATCTGCACGGAATGCAAAAAGGTAGATTCAAATAAAAAGAAGAGGATTTTTTTCTTCAGATTTAAAAGCTTTTAGCCATTGCTTGAAGGAGTAACATTTCATTCTGCTGCTTGGTTGGTCCACCACTTGGCTCCAGGTTACGATTTTTTTTAAATCAATCAATCAAGCACCAGATCAAAATGTATCAGCCCGCTACATATAGAGCAGATTGTACTCTTTGTTATCTTACTAGAAGGAACCAGGCAGAAGCTTCAAGCATAACCAGACGTCTGCTGTGAAAGTTATAGAGAGAGATGCTGATAGAAAGAATCAATGAGGATGAACTATGAGAATAACTGCAAATCTTTGTCTTCAGATATCCTTGCCTCACTCATCACTTGTAATAGCCATGTTGACTTCTATACCAATCATATAATGGAATCTGAAGAGCAACATTACAAAGTGCAGTACTTTGTTTTATTACTATACTTTAAATTCACATCATCTTAACCTGCTTAGCTCAGATGGTAGAGCTCTTAATCTGACTTGTGTGTGTATATATTTAAAATCTGGTTGTTTGATCTGAAAAAAGTCAATGTCTGAGCTGCCTTCACATTTTAAGTTGACTAAATTTAAGATGATAAGTTGAGATAAAAAAGTAAGTTAATTCAAAACAAAACAAACTTTTCTCATCAAATGAACGTGTGCAGATAATCAGTTTACCTAAATTATATTCACAGCTAGTGAAGTTATCGACACAGTGTTTACCTCTCAGTCATGGCTGAACCAGCCAGCGACCTTTAGGCTGGAAGGTGATAGGAGTATAACCTGCTCTACTGTATGTAGCCACTTTGTTTAACCATATCTTCTTTATATATTCATATTTGGGTCACTTGTATTTTAGGGTCTTTCCTTTTCCCTCACTAAATCATTTTCATGATTGGACAACTTTACATTAGTCTAAAATTTGACATAAACATAAATTACTGACTTAACACAACATTTATACAAACTTCTAGTTAAACTGTCAATGAATCATAAATCACTGTAGCTAACAGTTTTTACGGTGCAGGGTCGCTTTGGGAAGTTAGTTAACTCAGTCTGTAGGAACTTGGGTTGGGAAGTGGATGGTCGCCAGTTCAAGTCCCAGTTTGAATCAAAGTCTTGAAATTGGTCTGTTGGAGTGCTGGAGAGGCGTCTGCTCACTTCTCAAGTAATGCTGAGCTTCCCTTGAACCGAACCCCATACTGCTCTGAGCCCCTTCACTCTGACATTTCTCCATTAAAACATGGAGTCATGTTTGTGCATGTGTGTATTTCACATCTATGTATGTTTGAATAGTGTGTCTCTGTCTCTCCATAAATGTCAACATGAATGTAGAAGTATAAAAATATATGTATATTTTTTTAACCTCTGCTATTAGTAATTTGTATTTGGTAAAAATTAACCGGTTTAGCATGCTAGATTCTAAACTAATGGGGTTAGCGTGATATATATGATACCTGTTTAACATCAACATGTTAGCAGTGACATTGGTTACTTTCCAGCCTGATGAGGACCAGGGGTCTTACAAATAATAGCAAGCTCTTTGTTCCCAAGGGCTGAAATCTGCAGCTGAATTCACAGGAATGACGCACAATGGGAGTTTAAACTGCAGTTTCAATAGTAAAAGAAAAAAGGTTTAGAGTCTGTGAAGGTATTACTGCCTAATTAAAGAAAAGTGCTGTGTCTTTTAATGTTAGGGCGTGGGTTTAACAGGGGTAGGCTTCAGGCTGTAGGTAAGTGATTTCAACATTAAGCTTAAAACTTACAAGAAACTTTTGACCCAAGATTTGTAAGAAATCAGACACATATAGGAGACTGTGAATCCTCCATATGTAGCTGGATGAAACACAATAGAAGAGAATGGACGAGGGAAAGAAAAATGTTTGATGAACTTATCCAACATTCTGGCCACCTCTGGGTAAATAATTCAATACCAGTCAGAACAGAATGTATTATATGTTTGGAAAACACATCGACTGCATTAATACCCAGAGCAGCGACTGACTCTTACATTCTCCAGATTTTTATGGGACGCCAGATCACGGGGTTTAAACAGAGAGGCAGAGCAACAGATAAATCATTTGTCCAGTAGCAGAGCTCCTGTCTGTTTGTGTTCATCTCCAGAGCAACTGCAACGCAATGAATCAGCCTCAGCACAGCAAACTGTGAATGAACACTGCAAATGCAATTGATTAGAACTTAGCGGGCACATACTCATACGCAGACACATTTCATCACGCCATTGTCAAACACAAACACGCCTACTGATGTCATATGCTGAACATTGTAATGAATCACACAAGGCAGGAGCAGCTGAATGAACATTTGTTTAGACGTAATTAAGTTGGTTTGAATTCTTTATTCCACAGAAAGTGTTCTGTTACTTTTCTCATGCTTCTGTTTTGGCTCCATGTGGAAATATGATTATTTCTCTTTGCTGAAAAGAAAGGGGTGAAAGGTCACATTGGTACCGTGATTAAAGCAATACTGTAAATGCTTTGACCTTAATCACTAACGTTGTAACAAACTCTGTTAAGACCATGGACTGTAACTCTGATGTTAAAGGACCAGTTCGTGATGTTGATAGATACACCTTCATATTTTTTTTCAAGAGTAAGGTGAGAAGATCCCTCATTGGTGCATTTTAAATATCAACTGCTGTTATCTAAGTTTACGCTGCTCTATTTACCTCGGAACTCGGAACTGGGAATGAAGTCACACCCGAGTTAACTGCGTTCCTGTTGCAAGTCGGACAAGCAATATGGACGCCTCCAGGAGAACCTTTTGTTTTGTTAGCTAAAATCAGACGGTAACGTGACAGTTTCTGACCAAAAAACACCTCCAGCGAGAGAACTTGCATGATACCATCGGTGTGATTGATTTAATTACTCAAAAAGACGACTAAGCTGTTAATAAACTCAACAGTTACAAACATCCCTGTCGATTCACGTAGCAGCCATATTGGATTTAAACTCAGGCTACTGAAGATTCTCAGAGTTTCAAAGTCGGAATTCCGACTTCAGGGGGCGTTTCTGATGACGTATGAGACCGGCAACTCGGAATTTACGACAAATGGAACGCACCATTAACCTACAGC